ATTCCTCTCCCCCAGTCCTAATCTGGTTTGTTCTCTGAGGAATGAGTTTGTTTTTTGTGGGTCTGGGGCTGCTCTGGAAATGAGGACTGCATCCCCTCCCAACCCCGCCACCAAGTCCTTTTGTTACCCTGCCTTCACTTGGGGATAGGGCCAGGGCCTGGACCGTTCCTTCCTAAGAGGGGTGCTGATGAGAACCCTCTCATCCTGGCAGCTTGATCACCTTTTCTTCTTGCTGCCCCCTGCCTGGGTTCAGGCTCCTCTGGGAGGGAGGGGCTCCACGCACACTCAGGTGCTGTGAGTGCCCAGGGTGCACACCTGGGCATTTTTTGTGCCCAGCTATAAGGCTGTGTATACTGGGTGGGTGGGAGCAGGCGCTAGGGGGTTATTGTTGGATGGCTGCGGTTTCTTTCCCTACCCTGCTCTGGGCTCAGCTCTTCCTGAAGGTTCTCCCACTCTCTCAACCTGCTGCCTTCCTCCCGCCTCCCATGGAGGAGGGTGTGGAGTGGGTCTCTAGGGGCCTGGCAGATTGGAGAAGGTTGAAAGGCAAAGGATTTACCCTACCCAAAGCCCCTCTTGTTCGAGAGACCTGAGGTGGACAGTCAGCCCACCTCTGCCCTCCCAGAGCCACCTCAGCCCCAGCCTTTCCTATTGTCCTGCCCCCCCCAACCCTTACCCCTGGGGCTGAATCTGCTGTGAGGCTGAAGACATGGGAGGGAGGGTGTGAGCAGCAGACCGTTGACTTTGGAAAAAGAGAGAGTGAGAGGGTTACACCAGGATCCTTCGCATTCTCCCAGTGCTGGAGGAAGGTCCCCCCCAGTGGGATAATTGGGGCAGGGCTGCCAGGGTCACCCCTTCCACCACCTTGACCACCTTCTCCAGAGGACTGGAGGGAGGGAAGCTGGGATTTGAGACCTTGGATCTAGCCCTTGTCTTTTCTTTTTTTTTTTTTTTTGAGACAGAGTCTCACTCTTTTGCCCGGGCTAGAGTGAGTGCCATGGCGTCAGCCTCGCTCATAGCAACCTCAAACTCCTGGGTTCAAGCAATCCTTCTGCCTCAGCCTCCCGAGTAGCTGGGACTACAGGCATGTGCCACCATGCCCGGCTAGTTTTTTCTATATATTTTTAGTTGGCCGATTAATTTATTTTCTATTTTTAGTAGAGACGGGTCTCGCTCTTGCTCAGGCTGGTTTCGAACTCCTGAGCTCAAAACAATCTGCCTGCCTCGGCCTCCCAGAGAGCTAGGATTACAGGCGTGAGCCACCGCGCCCGGCCGCCCTTGTCTTTTCTTTAGTCCATGGGGACAGCTCAGCTCTTCCTGGCCCAGAACTAGAGCGGGGGAGGGGGATCAGAGTCTGACAGGCGGTCGATTTGGTGGATTTTGTGAGCCCTGCAGTGCCCCAAACCAGTGGACGTGTAGAAGTGGCGACCTGTCCCCCACTCGGTATGGGGTGGGGTAGACCTAAAGGCCTGGGCTCCCAGTTCCCGTAGATGGAGTGGAGGGGTGTCTATATGTTGGTGGGGTGTCAGTGGACTCGGGTCCCAAGGCTGTGGGTTGGGAGTGACGGGTGTGGGGGTTGTCTGAGGCACAGAAAGACCTGGAGTCTGAGGGTGGTGACCAGACCCTGTCTAGAGGACATGGGGCCAATATCACCTCCTCGGAAGGAACCCCTTGGTATGTGGAGGTCCTCTCGTGATTGGACCCACCTTCCAGCCCCTTCTTGGCCAATTCTCCACTCTGCCCTTCACCTCCAAGGAAGGTGGGAAGAGAGAGCAGGTTGGCTGTGGGGAGGAGGTGGTCTCCTGGGTCCTGCAGGACCCAGGGAAATCTTGCCTCCCTCCCCAGAGTCCCAATTTCGGTGCATTAGAGGACAAGGGGTGCACAGGATGTGGCTCCCCATCTGTCCCCCACCAATCTCCGCTACTCACGCCTCCGCCTGCTCCCAGACGTCCAAGAATGTGAAGCACGTGGATGCCCGTAGTGGGGGGAGGGGGAGAGATGCTTATCAGGCAGGCTGGGCTAGGGGCCTTCTTCCGCAGCCTGCCGCACGCTACACCCGGAGCTACTCCCACCCGCTCCTCAGGAGGAGGAAGGGCGGTACAGAGGGCCCTGCACCCCCTCCCCAACCGTCCCCAGGGGTTGCGAGGAGGAGCGGGCGCCAGCTGGATTGGGAGGGGAGCGCTGGCCAGGAGCCCGGCTGATTTCCTGCTGATCTCCTCCAGGAAACCGGCCCCTTGTGCGAGCCTGCGAACGAACGGCTCTGGGGCGTGGGGAATCCAGAGCGCTCTGTGCCGCCCGACCAGGATGGGGGAACGAGGGAGGGGCACCATGGCAGCGTTGGCGGGAGGGGACGCCTGGCTTCCTGGGCTGCTTCCAGCCCTGGCTGGGCGCTGGAACTTTGAGCCGAGAAGGTGTGGTCCTTCTCCAGCCCTCTGAGTCCTTCTGCAGGAAGAGGAGAGATTTGTGGGCTGGGACCTCTGGGGAGGGAGGTTAGTGGGGAGGGGCCGGCCAGGGCAGTCCCTCCTCCTCCACCTGTGTGTGCAGGGAGTTATAGCTGTGTCCTAACTTGCACAGGCTGTGAGGGTCCTGAAGTCCCCCATGCCTTTGCCTCGGTCCTTCTACCTCACCTAGGCTGCTGGCTAGAGGCCTGGAGAGGTGGGGACTGGGCCTCAAGCTCTGGGTTCAAAGGGCAGAGCAGGAAACCTCAGATCTGCGTTACCTGGGTGACAGGTGGGGCTGGGGTAAGGGTGTAGTCTGTTACAGCCTGAAAGGCAGCCAGCCCTGTAGGGTGGGCTGAAAGGAGGCCTCACCCAGCCCAAACTGTAGCCCCTGCCTCGGATCATCTTTCCCCTCCTGCCAAAAAATAATTTTAAAAAGCACATTCTTTCAGTTCTATAAACACTCTGGACTTTGCTTTAGTTCCAAATTTTGATGGGTCTTTGCCCCTCTAGTCCATCCCTGACCTTAGAGCTGTTGCCCCTCATCTCAGTATCCCGTGTCTCCCCATGCCCATCTGCCTGCCCCCCCCCCCTCCTTACCCAAAGCGCCTTCAGTCCTGGCTCCCTCTCCAGTCTGGTTCACTTTAGAGGTGGGACCTTGGGAGAGGCAGGGCCAAGGGCAAAGGGTGGATTAGGAGGGAGGAGAGGTCAATGCCTTTTTCCTCTGCTTGTTGGAATGCTGAACAGGATTCTAGGCCATGGACCCCCCCACCACCACACCCCCTTGTCCTTGACATCCCCCCACCAGTCTGGATTGTCTATTGTTACTGCTTTTACGTCTTGGAAAAAGTTAGTACAACAAAGGGCTCCTTTGTGGCTCACCCCCTCTGCCTCCTGGCCTCCTCCAGGCCCCCCAACCCTGCCCCCCTACCCCAGCAGCTGTTCTCTGGCCTCTGGCCTGTCTGATTTGCTCGTCTGGCCTGGGGAGAATGAGGTGGGAGAAAACCAGGCCAGGGCAGTTCGTGTTCGGGTGAGGAACAGAGGGCTGGGGGAGGTCAGTGAACAGTCTGTCGGACTGGTAGGGGTGTGGACATGGATGATCCCTTTGCTTCGGGCCGATCGCTGGACAGGGGAGGGGACCTGGGGCCTAAGCAGTGCTGGTCAGCAGGCTCACCAGGGAACTGGTGCCCAGGCCCTACTAAGAGCCAGGAAAGCCCTGCCAAGGTTGTTGACCTGGTTCCCTGTCATCAGCTGCCTGGCAGCCCCTGGTGTCTGCAGGTAAGGGGGAGGGTGGTAGCACACAGCCAGCCCTCAGCGTGCCCACACTTCCTTCCTCTGTGCCTGGACATGGGGGCCATGTGACTCATGGCTGTAAGGTGCTTGGGCCAGGAAAATGCCAGAACCTCACATGCCGGAGTTCGGGATAGGGTTAGGTAGGATTCTGAGTTTGGGAAGAGGCAGGGACATATCTGCTCAGGGAGGCATCCTTGCCCATCCTTGCCCTCGGACAAGTGAATGTGGCAAGAGCTTCAGGAGGATGCTAGGCAGCCCCTTGGGAATCTGGGAATCTGCCTTGGTTGTAGCTCTTATCTAGCACCCTACACCCCCGGCTGCCTGGGCTTTGGGACACACAGCTCCCACCCAGCCCAGCCTATTCTGCCTGGAGCGATGGGCATGGAGCCATGCACTAGGGAGGTTTTGGCCAATGGGGGCTGCCCCTACTGGCTGGGTCACCCCTCCTGGCTGCCCTCTTGGAGCTGAATAGCAGGAGGGGAGGGGATAGTAACCCGGACATACTCCTGAGGCCAGACAGACAGAGCATTGATAGGAACAGACCCCCTTTGTCATGCCTTCCCCGCTCAGACAGGGATACCCAGAATGATGGGCTTCTGGGGCCAGGGGGGACTCTTCTGTGTCCAGAGGGTCCCCCTACCCATCCCAGGGAGTCCCTGCCTGCTGTGCCCCAACATTTGTGACTCTTCTTTGCACACCCTGTGGTGGGTCCCTGGCCAGGGGATTGTTTGGGTGGAGGAGGGGTTGTGGCTGCTGGCAGAAAGGAGTGGAGGGGGGAGCGGAAGCAGAGGGGGCGGGGGAGTGGCTGCCTTTGAATATCCTGTTGACCCCAGTTTCCTCTGCCCCAGCTTCTGTCCTCTTCCCTCCCTCCTCTTCAGGCCTTAACTCCTTCTTAACTTGGGGGAGAAGGGGGCCAGGCTGCCCAGGGGCAGGGCTTTGGAATCAGTCCAACTCCCACCCCAGTTCCCCAAGTATAGTCGTGGCACACGTGCAAATCTGCTGGTGTGTAATCTGGTCTTTCTGGTTGTGAAGGTGGGAGTCCCGGGGAGATAGGAGTGGTGGGGTGCGGCAGGCTCCATTGGCAGCCTCCTTCCCGGAGTCTGGCTGGGGAGTCCCAACTTTTCTGAGACGTCCCTGCTCCACGGTTTGAATCCTGCCAGCGATGGGGAGGCTGGGAGAGGCTCCTGGGACAGACCGTGAGGCAGGGCGGGGCACGGTATTAAGGATGGTGACCTGGGTCTCTAACTGCCCCCTCCTTTCTTCTTTCTCTAGCCATTGAGACCCAGAGCAGCAGCTCGGAAGAGATAGTGCCCAGCCCACCCTCACCACCTCCCCTCCCCCGCATCTACAAGCCTTGCTTTGTCTGTCAAGACAAATCCTCAGGCTACCACTATGGGGTCAGCGCCTGTGAGGGCTGCAAGGTGAGTCCAGGGGGTCACTGGGAAGGGTAGTCTTGACTGGGTAAATGGCATGTCCCCACTGCCATTTCCTGGGAGTATATAGTTGCGGGTAGGAGGATGTCCCTGAAGCTGCTGGTCTTGTTTCTATGTGGAAGTTGGTAGCAGCCTTGGAGGAGGAAGGGACGCCTGCTGGAGAACCTCTGCCATGGATGAGCAGGGCTCCCCCAAACCAGACGTCCCCTCCTACCTCATCTCTTCTCCCTGTTTCCATCCTCCAGCTGGCAGGGCCTACGCCCGCTCTGCCACCGCTGCCCAGGTTGCTATGGTGAGCTGGCTGCCGACAGGCTCTTGGCTGGGGACCCAGGAGGCCTGCCCCGGGCGGCCCTGCCTGAACCTTGCCATGGCAGCCTGGCAGGAGGCAGTTAGGAACAGGCATCCTGCCTTGGCCTCCCCTTCATTGCCCAGGCTGTGGGCTCCCTGGTGTCTGGCTGGATTCCCCCACCCTCAGGTTAGGCTTCAGGGTGCAGATGTAGCTGGACCTTCTCAGCAGCTTGGCCTGGCCTCTCCTCCTCCCCTAGGGCTTGAGCCTCTGTACTGGTTTCGTCCTTCAGAGACTGGGGCTCAGAAAGGCACAGCTTTGGGACTTGGGGCTCTGGGCTGCCCCTCAGCCTGGAGTAGCTTATCCCCAGGTGTGGCACAAAGGTCAAGGGCAAAGCACAAGGCCCCAGGCTGTGTATCTGTCTATCCTGTCTGGTTGTTCCTGGCTGGTCCTGGTTTCTCTCTCTGGTTAACCTGTATGAAGAGCCCCTGACCAGCCTGGGTCTGTCTCTGCGAGTGGTGAGTGCACATCTCTGGTTGGTGGATCTTTCTTCCTTGCTCCCGAGCGTGTGTGAGTGTGCCTGTGCACCTCCGTCTCTCTGGCCAGCTTGTGTGTCTGTCTTCTTGGCCTCTTCCTGCTTGTCTTCTCTTCCTATGTTCTGAGTTCAGGGCTGTAGGTTCCAGACCTTTGTCTCCCTCCTGTGTAGCCCCATGCCTTCCTGCTCGAGCAGCCCTGGGGTCCTTTTCCTTAGAAGGGAGAAGTCAGGTGTGTGGGTGCAGGGTGGGGGAAGACTCCCGCCCACCCTGCAGCATGGAGGGAGGTACTGAGATTCTTCTGAGGAGGATCCTTCTCATTCTCCCCACCTTTTCTGGCCTGCTTAGGTAGATGTTGGGCAAAGGCTTGGGGGCAGCAGCTGGCCCGACCCTCTCTCCCGGGGCTGGGCACCATCCCTACTGTGGGTGTGGGTGACCTGACTCCCTCCCCTCTATTCCCAGGGCTTCTTCCGCCGCAGCATCCAGAAGAACATGGTGTACACGTGTCACCGGGACAAGAACTGCATCATCAACAAAGTGACCCGGAACCGCTGCCAGTACTGCCGGCTGCAGAAGTGCTTCGAAGTGGGCATGTCCAAGGAGTGTGAGTGCTGCGGGGCCGGGGGCCAGGGACTGAGCCCTGGCCCAGGTGGGGCCCAAGGTGCTCCTAGCAGCCCAGGGAGCAGAGCTCTGTGGATGTGTGTGCACACATGTGAGCATAGATGCTGTGGTGTGCACGCTTGTGGTTCAGGATGGTTTGCATGTGGCTGTCAGGACCTGTCTGGCTGCGTGTCTGCGGTGTGCAGGTCGGTGCTCAGGTACAGCATACATGTGACTGTTCCTGTGTGTGCATGTCTGGCTGTGTGAGCTTGCACACGTGTGCATGTGTGTCTGTTCCCAGGATGGCTTTCTCCCAGGCCCCGCGGGGCTCAGGCGTGGGACTGAGGCATACCTGAGCCCCTTCTCATTGTGTGTCTTAGGGGAGGGGTCTGAACTTTGAGGGGTGCTAGGTTGGGATTTATGTGTGTTGAGGGGCTGGCACAAGGATCCAGAAGCCATTGTCTGGTTAAGCCTGGGACTTGGAGTTAGAAGACAGAATTGGGACTTCTCAGATCCCAGACGAGGTGGGGGTTTCCAGTTTGGGCCCAGCTGAGGCTGAACGAAGGAAGGGAGGGAAAGACTGGACAGGGAGACCCTCTGGTGTTGAATCATGGGTGTTGCCGTGGTGACCGGTGATTGATGATGTCAGAGATAAATGACGCTGACAGACGCCTCCTTGTCTGCGTGGCCGTTGCCATGGAGCCTGAGCCTTGGGGGATGGGGTGGGGGAGGGGGCTGCAGGACCCCCTAGCCCTTTGTGGGGCGGGCAGTGAAGAGGGAAGTGGGGAGCGAGCATGGGGAGAGATGGTTCTGACTCATGCATGAAGAGCCCCAGAAAGGAGCGGAAGGGACCTGGAGTATCCTGCCTCAGGAGGCTAGAGGGTGCCTTGTCCTGCGCCCAGAAAGTGGTGGCTCGCCACTGCACAGTGGGTAGCAACTTGGGATCTGCCAGCCTGGAACCTTTTGCATAAGGTCCCTCACCTCCTGCTCTCTCTGTGTGTGCCACCTTCTCTGGCAGAAGGACCAGGGTGGGGACCCCCTCTCCCTCCCACCGCCAGCTCCCCCTCTCCCGGCTGCTCTGTGCCCTGGAGCTGAGCAGCTGCCATTTCAATAGAATTAAAGCTTCTGAATGATAAACGTCTTGTCACAGCTGCAATTTTCTCTTCCCAAATTATCCCCCCACTCTCCCTCTCCCTCTCCCTTCTCTCCCCTGCACTTTATTGAATTTGCAGAATCGACATGAGTGATCTCCAAATTATGCCAGCTACCCCCTTCCCGGGCCCCCTCCCCCCACCCTGTCTTCCTCCCGCGTCAGCAGCAGCCACCACCGGCCCTGTGAGTGATTGTGTGTCTGGGATAATCGGCTGGTAACGACCCCATCGCTTCTTTAAAGCCGAGTGGTGTGTGCGGCTCAGCGCCCCTGGTGATTTGTCAGCTCCCCAGCTAATGGGCCGAGAGATTCTCCCGCCGGCCCCCCACTCTCCGGCTGGGGAGCCTGCTCCCCGCCTGCCTAAGGAGCTGCTCAGAGCCAGTCCCAGGGAGCCCCAGGGAGACTGCTGCCAGGATGGCTGAGTGGAGGCAGGAGCAGGTCCTTTCTGGGGGCAGGAGGCAGAACGCAGAGGAGGGCGACGCACACCTGGAGTGTGGGCTGGAGTAGGCGTACAGGGGGGCGGCGGTGCGGCCGGCCATGGGGGTGCGTGTTCCAGGCCACAGCTGTGGTCACAGGGCCTCTGGGCAGAACTTGGTGTGTGGGTTGGGTGAGCAGGGAGGGCTGAAGCATGTGGCCATGCCCCGTCTGCTCACGCGTGTGCGTGTGTGTGTGCGCGCGTGCTTCCCAGCTGGGGTGACCTCCTCAGTAGCTAGTAGCTGGCAGCTCTCTGGAGAGAAGAGTTCATGCTGGGGATGGACCTGGGGCCTGGGGACAGAGCGCTGCCCACAGCTGCCCTCTAACCTGCTTCTCTGCCCTCCACAGCTGTGAGGAACGACCGAAACAAGAAGAAGAAGGAGGTGCCCAAGCCCGAGTGCTCTGAGAGCTACACGCTGACGCCGGAGGTGGGGGAGCTCATCGAGAAAGTGCGCAAAGCGCACCAGGAGACCTTCCCTGCCCTCTGCCAGCTGGGCAAATACACTACGGTATGGCTCCCCTGCCTGGCTGGTGGGCTGTGCCCAGTGCCACAGGGCCAGGACTGCCCCCCGGGGCACCCCTTCTGCCAGGAGTTCACTCCTCAGCCCTTGCTGGGCCTCCACATCCTCCCCTTTCCCTTCATCTCCTTCCTCCTGCTGCCTCCTCCCAAGGAGCTCTCAGGAAGTGAAGGCAGGGGGGAGAGGGCAGGCCTGTGGGGCTGGTGGAGCCCGGCCGGGAAGGGGTGCTGTGGAGGAGAAGGCCCTCACTCTGCCCCTTCCCCCAGAACAACAGCTCAGAACAACGTGTCTCTCTGGACATTGACCTCTGGGACAAGTTCAGTGAACTCTCCACCAAGTGCATCATTAAGACTGTGGAGTTTGCCAAGCAACTGCCCGGCTTCACCACCCTCACCATTGCCGACCAGATCACCCTCCTCAAGGCTGCCTGCCTGGACATCCTGGTGAGGGTCTGCACCCTGCCCCCTGGGCACTGCCCCTGTGCCTTGGTAGACATCCTTCCAGCCAGCAGCCACCCTCCTAAATGTCCACCTGGAATTGACCTGTCCAAATGCTCACTTCCCATATAACCACTCTTCTCTTCCCCATATATCCACCTGTCCACCTGTCTACCTGTCCGCTTAGTCACTCAGCACCCAGGTGTGCGTGGTCCACCTGTTCCCCTGCACGCGAGTCATCCACCCTTTCTCCATCCGACCGGTGAATCTCTATCCAGCCACCCACCCACCTGTCCATCCAGTTAGTCTGTAATAAAGAGTCACCCAGGACCCTCTGGCCAGTCCTTGAGCTGGGTGTCAGGAACCCAGAGGTGAACACAAGACCATCCCCTCTTGGAAACCTTCCATGTGGTGGAGGCAACAGATAAGTCAACAGAGGTTGCAAAACTGATAAATGTTGGCTGGAGATGGGAGGAGGGCAGTTGACTGCTTGGGTCCCAGAGGAGGTGGCACCTAGGGGTTGATAGAAGGGGCAGGTGAGAGGGTGTCCCTAACTTAGGAGCAGGAGGTGGAAGGTGCTGCCGTGAGGCCATGCTGGGTTCAGGGGACTGCAGGGCACTTGGTCAGCCTGAGGTGGTGGCAGGTGCAGGGGGTGGGGGATGGGGAGTGGGGAGAAGTGGCAGGAACTGCCAAAGCCAAGGCTGGAAGAAGGACTGTTGTCCCTGTTATCCTTGACAAGGCTTAGTCTACCTGTTCCCTCTGGGCCCCTTCCAGGGTAGGGAGCCTGGGATTTGGTGGATTTCCTTGTGGGGTACCTCTGATCGCACACTGAGGTGGGTGAGGTGTGGGAGGCACAAGTGTGCAGCGTCCCACCCCCACGCCCCAGATGCAGGAGGCACGGTCAGGGTTCGGCACGGTTCGAGCTGGTACTCGTTTATTGAGCTCCTCTTGTGTGCCCTATCCTGGGAACTGTACACATAAGTCTATCACGTTCTTTGTCTCCTGGAAATTCTAGTTCCCCTCTAAATTCTCTGCATGGAGGCAGGATAACCTAGACCTGCACCATCCAGTATAGTAGCCACTGGCCACGTGTGACTATTTAAATTTAAATTAATTAAAATTAAACTCAATTCAGCTCCTCAATTGCATTAGCCACATTTCAAGTTCTCAGTAGCCACATGGGGCTGGTGGCTACCGTATTAGATGGTGCAGACAGAGAACCTTTCCATCACTGTGGAAGATTTATCAGACAGCACTGCTCTGGCTGCCTGCCAGGTGGTCCCCTGGGGAATGCCGGTGCAGGAGTGCTCGGAGTGGCTGGGGCTTAGTCCCTGAACCTGCGTGTCCTCTGCACCCAGATCCTGCGGATCTGCACGCGGTACACGCCCGAGCAGGATACGATGACCTTCTCGGATGGGCTGACCCTGAACCGGACCCAGATGCACAATGCTGGCTTCGGCCCCCTCACCGACCTGGTCTTTGCCTTCGCCAACCAGCTGCTGCCCCTGGAGATGGACGATGCTGAGACTGGGCTGCTCAGCGCCATCTGCCTCATCTGTGGAGGTGGGTGGGGCTGGGGCTGGCGGCCAGGCACGGGGTGGGGGTGCAGCCCCTGGCTTTCAGAGGAGAAAACCGAGGCGCAGAGGGCAGTGTCTGGTCTGCAGCCAGGCAGCAAGGCAGCGGTGTTGGGGGCCTGAGCTCCTGTTCCCTTTTTCTGGGCAGCCCTCCTGGTAGGGGCGTTGAGTGAGGGCTTGAGGGTCAGAACCACCAGGTTCAATTTCTGGCCAGCTGTGCGACCTTGAGCAGGTTGCTAAACCTCTCTGAGCCTCTGTTTCTTTAAAATGGGGCCAATAATGGTCTCTGTCTCATAAAGTTGATGGGAGAATTAAGGTGGTAACAATGTGCAGTGTGCCCAGTAAATGTTAGTTGCCTTTATTATTTTATTGTTGCGATTTCTGCCACGTCATGCTGTTTCCAGCATAATAACAGGTGGGAGTGGGTGGCCTGTCTGGGAATCCTTCCTCTGTCTGGGGGCAGCACTGCCTGTGTTTGGGGGTTTCATCCCATTAACTGGGCTGTTAGGGAGGGCTTTGGGTAACCCCGCCCCCACCTCCTCTTTTCCCACATTTAAGGGCTTCTGTCCCACTAGCAGCTCAGACCCGCTTGCCCTGGGGAGCCACCCAGCTGGGCCGCCTGTGCTGCGGCCTGGACAAGCGCGCCCCCCGGTGGCCAAAGCTGGGATTGCAGCTGTGTTCTCAGCTTGGCAGGGGCCCCTGCTCAGTGGGTGGCTCTTTGCTTCCTCAGACCGGCAGGACCTGGAGCAGCCGGACAGGGTGGACATGCTGCAGGAGCCGCTGCTTGAGGCGCTGAAGGTCTACGTGCGGAAACGGAGGCCCAGTCGCCCGCACATGTTCCCCAAGATGCTGATGAAGATCACAGACCTGCGAAGCATCAGTGCTAAGGGTGAGGCTCCCAGAGCGGAGGGTGCCTCTGACCCAGGACCCGCTGTCCGTGCCCAGGCCAGGCCCCCCACATCCAAGACAGCGCCCCATGTCTTTGCCAGGCCAACACACTCGTCTGGACTCAACCTGTTCCCATCTGTGTCTAGACTAAGGGCCCAAAACTCCACCATGCCCAGGTGACCTCCTGCCTGTGTGCCCTAAGGTACTTCTGCATGGTAGTTCAGGGCATGGCTCTGGAACCAGTCCTCATGGGTGTGTGTCCTTGGGCAGGTCACTTGAGAGCTCTGAGCCTCAGTTTCCCATTGAGAATGGGAATAATGGTGGTGTTCACAGAGGTGTCAGTAGGATAATGCACAGCACAGAGGAAGGGCCCAGTGTCAAACCCAGGCAGGGAGTCTGATGCTGGTGCCAGAGGTCAGAACCACTCTGCCCCATTGCCACAAGGCCCTGGACTTGGGGGCTTAAGAAAGCTGGCTTATGTCAAAGAACTGGGTCCCAGATTCAGTGTCTGGTGGATGCTGACATATTGGTAGCATTGATCCTCCCACCCCCAGGGACCGTCCTTCCGAGAGCCGGGCTTGCTGCGGCCGGGAGAGTGGGCCGGCGTGCTGACCTCTGCCCCTCCTTTCCTGCAGGGGCTGAGCGGGTGATCACGCTGAAGATGGAGATCCCGGGCTCCATGCCGCCTCTCATCCAGGAAATGCTGGAGAACTCAGAGGGCCTGGACACTCTGAGCGGACAGCCGGGAGGCGGGGGGCGGGAAGGGGGTGGCCTGGCCCCACCACCAGGCAGCTGTAGCCCCAGCCTCAGCCCAAGCTCCAACAGAAGCAGCCCGGCCACCCACTCCCCGTGACCGCCTGCGCCACATGGACACAGCCCTCGCCCCACACCCCGGCTTTTCTCTGCCTTTCTACCGACCATGCGACCCCCGCCAGCCCTGCCCCCGCCTGTCCTCCAAGACAGTACAGGGGGACCTTCCCTGGGGGATGGGAGGGAGGAGGCAGCGACTCCCCGGACGGGCCTGGGCCCTCGATGGACTGCCCGCTCCCGCAGCCTGGTCTGACGTCAGGGGCCGAGGCCGTGAACTGAGTGAGGGCCCCTGGTCCTGGGCCTCAGGGTGGGGCCTGGGGGCCTCGTGTTCGTCAAGGTACCCCTCTGCCCACCTCGCCACATCTTCATCACCAGCAAACGCCGGGACCTGGCTCCCTGTCCTCAGAACTCACAAGCCATTGCTCCCCAGCTGGGGAACCTCAGCCTCCCCGCTGCCTTGGTTGGTGACAGAGGGGTGGGCTAGGGGTGGGGGTTCCCCTTGTACATACCCTGCCGTACCAACCCCCAGGTATTAATTCTCGCTGGTTTTGTTTTTATTTTAATTTTTATGGGTTGAACATCCCATCAAGTCAAATTGGGCATTTGAACAAGTGGGAAAGGGAGACATGAGAAAAGAAAAGTCCAAGACAAGATTTTTCTTTCGCTAAAGGATACTTGCATTTACTTGACTGCATTTGATGAATTTTGTGTCTTCTGTGGTTGCATGGTAAAGTTTTCATCAAAGAAAGAGTAAAAGACTGGTAGTCCACTTTAGTCCAGTTAGAGTACTTTCACTCAGCATTTCAAAGAAGAAAGAAGTTTGGTTTTGTGACACCCTTCCCCCAATTCAGAGCTTTACAACTTTTTGCTTTTAAGGGTGATCTTAGTTTTCAAGAGTCATTTGATAAATTCACAATATGTAAAGAATACAAAGGTTCAGAGGAACAGTTGTAATTCCAAGCATAGCCCAAGTTATAGGGCTTTTACATGGCCTAATTTTATCGTTCCCCCTTGCGCCACACTAGAGTATTAATAGTGTCAGCATTATCCTTTGTTGTGTCATCACTGTTTTCTTAAATATTCCATCACATGCTTCCTATCTTGGGATCATTGTCTTCTTCCCTTCTACAGGGTATTTTTGGAAAAGCTTCTTTAAGACTCGTGCATATTATTGATTGAAGGCACATAAATGTACTTTTAAGTGTCTCCTGTGTGCATAGTATTCTATTTGATCTATAGGATCAAGTAGAATACTGTGATCTGTAGGACACACCAGGTTGAACAAGATTTAATTTTTCT